AAAGGGAGGAGGCGGAGTTATAAGAGCCCAGAAGTTGGGGCTATCCGGTGGGAAATAGGACCCAGAAGAAGCTCCCTAATGGGGGTAGAAGCTACAGAGGAAGGGTTTGTCTGACAGAAGCTGGAGCAGCTGAAGACACCCGACTGCTGTCAAGGTGCTGCCTCAGGCAAAGAAGAATTCCCTCTCTTCTTGCTCTCTGATGTCCTGCCAGAGCTTCCAGTTGGCCAAACCAGGCAGAAACGAACTGACTTGGGCACCTCAGAAACAGCCCATACAGGCAAGACCGGTTTGGCTCAGTGAATAGAGCGTCTGCCTGCAGACTGAAGGGTCCTGGGTTCAATTCTGGTCAAGGGCATGTACATTGGTTGCGGGCACATCCCCAGTGGGGGGGTGCAAGAGGCAAACTGGTCGATATTTCTCTCTCATCGATGTTTCTAGCTCTCTATCCTTCTCCCTTCCTCTCTGTAAAAGTTCAATAAAATATATTTAAAAAAAAAAAAAAAAGAAAGAAAAGAAAGAAAAGAAGCAGCCTGTATAAGTCAAACCCCCTGAGATGCAGAACAGTGGAGGAGAAGGGCTCAAGGCCAGCTCACCTCCCCAGTCAGTCTCCTTCACCGTGATCTTTAATTCCTTCTAATCTATTCTCCACTCTGCACCAGAGAGATCTTTCCCACTTGTAAACTTAATCCGGTCCTCCTGCTTAAAACCTGGCAGTGGCTGGAAGTTTCCTGCAGGAAAAAAATAGGACTCGTCCATCAGGCTGACTTTGTCAATCCATTGCAAACATAGAAAACGCTGCTTCCCTTGATGATACTGAGCTTACTCTATAACATGGATGAGCTGCTACTCAAGGTATTACTGTAGAAGAAAACAGATTCTTCCTCAAAGTCATTCACCCTAAATTCTTTCTGATAAGAACTGTTTGCCATGACTGGCTCAGGGCTTTAATGAAAAGATGTCATACAGAAGAAAACGGAGAGCGAGTAAAGGCTGTTAACCTCTATTAAAGGAACAGAGTAACAAGAGATTGAATTAGTAATAAAAAAAACTTCCTACAGAGTAAAGCCTAGGCTTAGATGGTTTACTGGTGGATGCTACCAAATGTTTAAAGAAGAATTAGCGCCAATCCTTCATACACTCTTCCAAAAAACAGGAGAGGAGGGAGCATTTCACAGTTCACTCTATGATACCAGTATCACCTTGATATTCAGACAAAGGCATCACGAGAAAAATAAACCAATATCCTTTATGAATATAAATGTAAAAATCTTCAACAAAACATTAGCATACCACACCCAGCAACATATAAAAAGAATTATGTACCTTGACCAAGTGGGATCTATCCCAGGAATGCAGGCATGTTGGTTTAACATATGAAAATCAATTAATGTTATAAACCATATTCAAAAAATAAAGCGCAAAATACATGATTATCTTAATAAAGAAATAATAAAATTTAACACTCGTTCATGATAAAAACACTCAAAAACACTAGCAAAGGTAAGCTGGCTTTGATAAAGGCCATTTATGAAAAACCCTCGGCCAGCATGGTACTTACTAGAGAAAGACGGAAAGCTTTCACCTGAAGACAAAGACCTCTGCTCCTGTCACCTCTATTCAACACTGTATTGGAGGTTCTAGCCAATGCAATTAGGCAACAACAACAACAAAATAATAAAAGGCATCCAGACTGGAAAGGAAGAAGAAAACTATCCTATTTATAGATGGCATGATCTTAAATATAGAGAAAACCCTAAAGATTCTATAAAAATTGTTGGAGCTGAAAAATGAGACTAGCAAGGTGATAGGATGAAAGATCCATACACAAAGTTCAGTTGTATTTTCTATTTACTAGCATATAACAATTTAAAATCAAATTTTAATCAGTTAAAAATGATTTTACTATGATAGCATAAAAAAGAATAAATATTTAGGAATAAAATTAACAAAAAGAATGTAGGTCTTGCACACTGAAAACTACAAAACACTTTAAAGAAATGAAAGAAGACATCCTATGTTCATGGATTGGAAAAAGTAATATTGTTTAGATAGAAACACTCTCCAAATTGATCTACAGATTTACCATAATTCTTATCAAGTTCCCAGCAAGCTTATTTTTGCAGTAATTGACCATTTGATTCTAATGGAAATGTAAGGGACCCATAAAAGCCAATACAATCTTTAAACACACACACACACACACACACACACACACACAAAAAAAAAAAAAAGTTGAAGGACTCACACTTCCCAATCTCAAAATTTACTACAAAGCTAAGTAATAAAGACAGTGTGATATTAGCATAAGGACAGACATATAGACCAATGAAGTAAAATTGAGAGTCCAGAGATAAATTCTTATATTCATGTTTAATTGATGTTAACAAAGATGTCAAAACAAAAAATAACACTACCTTGATTAGGCAATGGTTTCTTAAATACAGCACCAAAAGCACAAAAGCAATAACTGAAAAAATAGATAAACTGAACTTAATCTAAATTTAAAAATTTTGTGTTTCAAAGGATACCAATAAATTCTAACAAAAGGAATGTAAGTCTTATACAGTGAAAAACAACCCACAGAATGAAAGAAAACATTTTTAAAAACATATATCTATAAACATATATCCAGATTCTATAAAGAACTATTACAACACAATAATAGAAAAACAGATTACCCAATTAGAAAATAGGAACAAGTCCCAGCTGGTTTGGCTCAGTGGACAGAGTGACAGCCTGTGAACTGAAGGGTCCCAGGTTCAATTCTGGTCAAGGACACATGCCCATGTTGCAGGCTTTATCCCCAGTTTGGGGGGTGGGAGGGCATGTAGGAGGCAGCTGATCAATAATTCTCTCTCATCATTGATATTTCTATCTCTCTCTCCCTATCCCTTCTTCTCTCTGAAATAAATTAAAAAAAATATATTTTTTAAAAAGGGCACAAGATCTGAATAGACCTTTATCCAAAGAAGATAGAGGAATGGCCAATAAGCACACGAAAAACTGTTCAACATCACTAATCATTTAAGAAAACACAAATAAAAACCACAATGAGATAGCACTTCACAAGCACTAGAGTAACTGTAATCAAAAGAATAGATAACAAAGTGTTTACAAGGATGTAGAGAAGCTATAACCTTCAAAGTAGTACTTTGGAAAACAAGTTGGAGTTCCTCAAAAAGTTAAACACAGAGTTATCACATGACCCAATAATTCCACTCCTAAGTATATATCCAAGAGAAATGAAAACATATATCAACTTCAAATTTTGTACACAAATGTTAATAGCAGCATTAATGATAATAACCAAAAAGTGGAAACCACCTCATGTCTATCAACTGATGCATGCATGCATGTGTTAATAAAATGTACACAATGTGGTATATCCACACAATGGAATACTATTCAGCCATAAAAAAGAATGATACCAGTTGTAACATGTGAGAAACCTGAAAATATTATGCTAAGTGATAGAAGCCAGACAAAATCTATCTATCTATCTATCTATCTATCTATCTATCTATGCCTAAGTGACCATTTGACCATTCAACCAGTAACTATGACACATACTGACCACCAAGGGGTAGACACTCAACTTATAGGCATGGAAACTTGGAACAGACTGATGAATCTCAGAGGGAAGGGGGAGGAGCGAGGGCAGGAAGAGATTAACCAAAGATCTTATATACACACTAGAGGCCCAGTGCACAGGTTTGTGCAACAATGGGGTCCCTTGGCCCAGCCTGTGGGGACTGGGCCAAAACCGCCATGGTGCACAGATTCATGCACTGGTGGGGTCCCATGGCCTGGCCTGCAGGGATTGGGCTGAAACCAGCAATCCAACATCCCTTGAGGGGTCCCGGATTGCGAGAAGGTACAGGCCAGGCAGAGGGTCCCCACCAGAGCACAAATCCATGCACCAGGCCATTAGTATTAATATTATATGATTCCATTTATATAACATGTCTGGAACAGGCAAATCTAGAGACAGAAAGTAGATTAGTGATTGACGAGGGCTGGGGAGCATTAATCGGGTAATGGAAAGTGACTGTTACTGACTACAGGGTTCTTTCTGGGGTGATGAAGATGCTCTAAAATTAAACTCTAGATATAATAAAAATCACTGAACTGTACACTGCGAAATGTTGTCTCTTAGGGTATGTAAATGGTATCTCAATAAAGCTGCTTTAAAAAAGCTATAGAGCATATTGGGAATATGAAAAACTGAAACAACACAGATGTTCCACAGGCGACTGGTTCAAAATACCCGTAAGGCAACCTGCTGTGCAGCAATTAAAAAGTGTTTTCAAGCCCTAGCAGGTGTGGCTCTGTTACAAAGTGTTGGCCCACAGACCATAGGGTCCCGGGTTTGATTACTGTCAAGGGCAGTACCTCAGTTGCAGGCTCCTCCCCAGCCCAAGCCCGAGGGCCCATGCAGGAGGCAATCAATTGATGTGTTTCTCTCACATCGATACTCTGTCTTTCTCTCTCTCTTCCACTCTCTCTAAAAATCAATGGATTTTTAAAAAAGAAATATCAAAAAGTTTTTCAAAAATATTTAATGTCATGCAAAACAATTATACACATATATACATAGAGTGAAAAAGTAGACTATAAAACAATATGTACAGAATAATCCTAACTGTGCATAAAATTTGAAAACGTGGTCAGCCATATGGCCAACTGGCCATATAATGAGACTCCCTATAAATATCCTGCAGCATCTTAATCACCAAGAAAAGTTCCCCGAGTACGTTGCCTATTAATTATCGGAAAACTTGACTGAGGTGTCTGTCTCTCCTCTCCTCAGCAGTGACCTCGTGCTGCTGGGCCGCACGATACCCAGTGCCCGCCGTGGGCCAGCCCGGCGCCCTGCTGGGAGCCCATCACCAGCCAAGGGCCCAGGGGTCAGGCCGCAGGCTCCAGGGAGGCTCTGCTGGCTCTGAACCGCACGGCCCTGGGGGACCCCCTCCCCCCTGGACGGACGGCGCGGCCCTCACCTTTGGTGGCGTAGGCTTCCGCCAGCACCCGCAGCCTGTAGGGCGGGACGGCCGTCAGCGGCAGGTCGTCGAGGCCCACCCGCGCGTAGATGTTGAGCGCTTCCTTGTAATCTCCTTCCACGTAGTTCAGCTTGGCCATGATCAGGTTGGATTCTTGCAGCAGCTCTGACTGGAAGGAAAAGGAGAGCAAAGCTGCTACCGCAAAGCTGGGGCTCCCCACGCAGAAACGGGGTGCGCACGGTCACAGCGAGATGGCTCTGCGGCAGCCCAACGTGGAAGCAGCCCAAGCGTCCACCCACCGAGGATGGATAAGCAAACGTGGTGGAGCCGCACGTGGAGTGTGACTCGGCCATGACGAGGAGGGAGTGACACACAGCCTCAGCACAGACGAACCTGGGAACATTTTGCGGAGGAAGAAGAGCCGGTTTGAAAGGCTCCCGGCTGCACAGGACATGGCCAGGATGGTGGAAGCTGTAGGCAGAATGTAGGCCAGTGTTTGCCTAGGGCTGGGACGGTGGGAACAGAGGAGCCTGTTAAGGGTGAGGGGTATTTCGTGGGGTGATGAAAAGGTTGCAAAATTCAGGTGCAGGTTGCACAACTCTGTGAATGGTCCCCAAACCACTGAGTAGTACACTTTAAATGGGTCGATGATGGCAGGTGAATTATATTTCAATGAAGCCGTCGCAAAACGAAACAGAAACCCTGAGGTTCCCCTAAGGCAGCGGTCGGCAAACTCATCAGTCAAGAGCGGCAAACTGCATGTGGCTCACAGTTTGTCGACCACTTCCCTAAGGCAGCTCAGCTGGAATGGGGCAAAAATAGAAGAATACTTTATGAACAAAACATATAAGCACCCATCTCAAAAAAGGAAGCTCCCGCCGAAACCGGTAGAGCGTAGGTCTGCGGACTGAAAGGTCCCGGGTTCGATTCTGGGTCAAGGGCATATACATTGGTTGCGGGCACATCCCCAGTAGGGGGCGTGCAGGAGGCAGCTGGTCAGTGCTTCTCTCTCATTGATGTTTCTAGCTCTCTATCCCTCTCCTTTCCTCTCTGTAAAAAAAAAAAATCAGTAAATATATATATATATATATATATATATATATATATATATATATATTTTATAAAGGAAGCTCCCACGGGCTTCCCGGGGGTCCTGTCCACTGCACTGGGCAGGACCTAAATGACCGGAGGAGAGAGGCTTTCTAAATCGGTGCAAAAATCAGCACCTGCTCCTTCCAATGACTTTCCTCACCGAGCCATTCCATCCCACTGTGGTCACTGCCCCTGGCCCTCTCCCAGCCGGGGGCCCCCATGGGCTCTCCTGCCCATCTAGGCAGGGTGGTCGGCTTCCCCAGGCCACGCCCACCGGCTCAGACTGCGGGCTCCCCTGCCCCCCTCCCGGCAGAGGAAGAAGAGGCTCCCCAGCATCTATATAAGGAGACAGATCTATCTCCCAGGCCTTCCCTCGGAGGCTAAGCTATACAAGGCTGGGTTTTCCTGCTTCCAGAAGCACGGGTTCTGTGATTTAAAGCTGAGCCAGGGTGGACGGCTCAGGGAACCGGCCAGGGCATGGCGAAGCGGCTGTGCCAGCCACGGTGGCCGCTCCCAGGCTCTTGTGGGAAGGGAGCAGAGAGGACAGGCTGCCCTGGAGAGGAGGGAGGGAGGGAGGGGCAGGGCAAAGGAAGGTGAGCTGGATGGGGAGCCAAAGGAAGCCAGAGAGGGAGGGCTGGAGAGGGAGGCGGAGAGCTGAGTCTACACAGAACGGAGAACGGCAGATGAATAGCAGGGCAGTGAGGTGAGCAAGGCTTCCTCTGTGGGGAGGAGGAGGTTTGGGGTCCGGTTCGGTGATGGAAGGCGAGGGAAGTTTGGGCCTGGCTCCCTTCTGCACCCCATACCGGGCCCGCCCTCCCCAGCAGGAAACCCCGCACCGCTCTGGGCACAGCGGGCTGGGGCATTCGTGGACCACATATTTCAGGCAGGAAAGTGGGTAATAAGGTAAGGTGACTAGACGTCCCGCTTTAGGCAGGAAAGTCCCGATTCTTAACAATTTGTCCCGCGTCCCGTGGCGTTTTTTTAAAAAAGTTTTTAAAAAAGATGTTTTTAAAACGCCCGGGACGCGGGACAAATTGTTAAGAATCGGGACTGTCCCGCCTAAAGCGGGACGTCTGGTCACCCTGTAATAAGGGGCACTCCTGATTAACGTGTTCCCTGCAGTGGGACGGGGCGTCAGGCTGAGCTCTGGGTCACCTATGACAGCTTACTCCAGGCACCTGGGGAAGAGCAGTGCCATTCTTGCTAACAGCGTCTCCCTGAAGGCTCGCATCAGAGACTCCAGAATCCCCCCCCCCCAACCCCGCAGGGGACGCCACCCGGGGGGTCGGCCCAGGGACCACCCAGGAGCCGCAGAGACATGCAGCTCAGAGCGGGCCGGCACCTCCCCGCGGCCTCCCCGCCCCGGAGGCCCAGGGTACCTTGAGGTTCCCCCGGTCCAGGGCGGCGGTCAGGTGCTTGCGGACCTCGGTGAGCTGGGGCCAGGGGCCGCGGGGGCTGGCCCCCTGCCGCAGCGAGTGCTCCTTCAGGTACTGCTCCAGCTTCGACTCCCCGAGGAGGAGCTCCGCCATGTCATCTGCCGAGGACGAAACGGGAGGCTGAGTGGGGGCCAGGGGTGGTCTGTGTGCTGGGAGCGCCCCCGGGCCTCAGGACCCCCCTGCTCCACCCTCCCAACGAGGTTCCACCTGGACCCTCATAACCTCAGACAGGGTCCAAGAGGCACCATCTCAGGCGGGCAGTAAAGAAGGTTCCGGTGTAGGCACTGAAACCCGGGGGGAGGGGGGGACGACACAGGGGGGGCACTCAAGCACTGTCCTCTTTTGTCAGGAAATTACGGAATCTAGAAAGACGGGCACAGTGACACGAGAGAGCTCCGGTTCAGTGGGAAAACATAAAGCCGTCTTGTGATTCATTCGGTCTGATCTTTACAACACACACCCCGGACCCAGCCCAGGCCTTTCCTGAGAGCCACGCAGTGGAACTCCCAGCCCTGCCGTGTTCTATGGCCTAGTACACGGATACGAGCCGGGAGAATGTCTCGTACAGTCAGATTCTTCCAACGAGCTTGTGCCAACACAACCTGAATGCAGGCAGTCTGTTTTTTGTGTAAAAGTCCAAACTATACCAACAGCCCGGGCTGGTGTGGCTCAGTGGCTGAGCTTCGAACTATGAACCAGGAGGTCCCGGTTTGATTCCCTGTCAGGGCGCATGTCCGGGTTGTGGGCTTGATTCCCAGTGTGGGGCGTGCAGGAGGCAGCTGATCAATGATTCTCTCTCATCATTGGTGTTTTTGTCTTTCCCTCTCCCTTCCTCTCTGAAATCAATAAAAATACGCTCATTCCAGCGCGACTCTCTGGGACCCACACATCCACGCTGCTGTGGACAAACCCAAACAACCGGTACCCCAGCCTGAGCCCGGCTCTTTCCTCTGTGGTGGGACAGAACCTAACGGTGTTCAAATAGAAAAGCAGCTTTTAAAAGTCTGGAGGGATGAACCTCACAGCCACGCTAATAGTTACCACTGGGGCGCAGAAAAAAGAACCCCAACTGGAGTGAGTGGCCAAAAGGGACTTTGGCTTTAGCATGCCGGCCCTGGAGGAACCACCACAGACAGGCCTGTGCAGTCGGAGTTAACTGAGACGCGGGGGCCGGGCCTCCAGAGGCCAAGAGCTGGACCGGGAGCCTTCCCAAGCCCTCCGCCCAGTGACCCGAAGCTGCCGGGCCTCCCGTTCCCAGCAGCGCCTCTGCCTGAGTCCTGAGCAGCCAGCAAGGACCTGCCAGAGATGATGCCGAGGGCCCTGGGAGGAGCTGAGCAACACCAGAACGGGCTGAGTTAACGCAGAGACCTGAACTCAAAGGTTCTTTAGTTGTCCGAGAAGAAAAAGGAAATCGCGAGGACATCAGGCAGGACCACAGCGAGGTCGCCCACCAGCAAACCACAGAGCTACGCCTGCAGGGGGCTCGGGGACGCCAGGGTCACCCAGGGGAGGGACCAGCCGCAGCGCCAGTCGGGGTTGAAGGTAACTAGCAGCTTCCTCCCAGAACGGAAACCCGGCGAATAAGGAAATCTAGGGCCTGGGGGGAAGGTGGGTAGGCAAAGGCCTGCTGCTGAGTGCCAGGGCATTCACATGCCGGTATGAAAGGCGTACAAGACGCACTGCTACAGCGGGATCTGACTGTTACACACCAACACAGTGCACACGTGACAGGTGTGTGTTTCACGGTGGAAAGTGTGGGAAAGGCATTCCGGCAGGAGGAACAGAATGTGCAGAGGCGTGGCACAGCCTGGTTGTTTGGGGGAACTCGTAAGTGAGGGGTGAGAGCTGAAGCATCGAGGGCAGGGAGAGGAAGAGGGCAGTGGTCGTGGGAGTTTCCCGCCATGTAGGCGAGAATCGGTTCCTTCATTCTGGAAGGAGCCGCAGGCTCCGGGCGAAGAGCTTACAGTCTAAGCTGAAATTCAGCATGGCCACTACAAAGTCATTTTTGGACTTTTTTTTTTAATTCACAGGCTCCAATTAAAATCTCAAGCAAACTGTTTTCTTTAATCCCCTGCAAAAAGGTGATTTCGAGATCAACCAAAGGACATGTAAGCCTAAGCAGTGGTCCTGGACAACAGGGGGTGGGCATACGTGGGGAGGGGTTTGGGATGGGAATGGGGGGATGAGGACAATTATGTGATACCATAACCAATAAAGAAATTTAAAAAAAATAAAAGTGACTTTGCTGCCATTCATTCTCCCAACCAGGAGGCAGAGATCTTCACCACAGCCTGGAGCTCATGCAGAGCCATGACACCGAGGCTGCGAGGCTCAGAGCTAACGGTGACGGTGACGGTGACAGTGACGGTGACGGTGACAGAGGCTCGGCGCCTGACCACAGCACTGGCTGCACCTGCCCAGCACCTCTTGGGTTCCCAGGCCGAATCCACTAGCAGCAGAAGAAAAGGGTGCCGCCTAGCCAGCTGTTACTGCCCAATCGTGTGCCCAGCTACAGTGGGACGCACGGGGAAAAGACACCTCGGGGTCAATTTCAGATTAAAGAGTTAAATATAAAATAAAAGAGGATCAAAACGGTAAGAATAGCCGAAACCGGTTTGGCTCAGTGGTAGAGCATCGGTCTGCGGACTGAAAGGTCCCAGGTTCTATTCCGGTCAAGGGCATGTACCTTGGTTGCGGGCACATCCCCAGTAGGGGGTGTGCAAGAGGCAACTGGTCGATGTTTCTCTTTCATCGACATTTCTAGCTCTCTATCCCTCTATCCTCCTCTCTGTAAAAAATATATTTTTTTAAAAAAAATGGTAAGAATAGGCATTCACTTCTAGCCAAGACAGACCAAATTTAGCCTCCCATCAGAAACCCACAAAATCATGACAGAATATATATATTTTTTCTTTTTTTTTCAACTAGAGGAAGTGGTACATTTTTTTTATTGTTTAAAATATTACATATATCTCCCTTTTGTTCCCCATTGACCTTCCCCCAGCTTCCCCTACCCCCCTGTCACATGCCCTCATCCCTCCCCCCACAACCCCCCAGTGTCTTGTGTCCATTGATATGCTTCTATGCATGATACAAGTCCTTTGGTTGATCAACTTCCCTATCTCCCCAACACTCCCCAGTCTTCCCGCTGTAATTTGACAGTCTGTTCGGCGCGACAGAATTTATTTTTAAGTAAAAACAATTTTCAAGACACTAGACATCAGGCAACAGAAGAGTGATCCCTGAGAACTGGGTAACAAACCAGGTCGGCGCTCGGATTGCTGGCACCAGGGAACGGGGGCACCGGCAGCAGAATTCTGCCTCGTGGAAGACTTCAGCCTCAGTATCTCTTCCCCTACTTCCTGTCCCCCTGCCCAGGCACCGAGGAGGGCACAGCCGGGCACACTGGGCATTCCACAGCGGCAGGCAGAGCTGCAGGACGTACCTTCCAGGTTGGAGAAGCACAGGAGTGCCCAGGGCTGGGTTCCCCCACCCCACAAACATTTTGGGGGGTTTGAGGCTGAGAAACCAGCTCTCCAGTGACTTTTAGCGAGAGAAAGCCTGGCATCGAATGGAGACCACTCCTGAGATCCGCATGGGACTCGGCCCCAGAGGAGTCTCTGGTCCCCCGGTTCATCCCCAGACAGACAATCCCTAGTCCGGAAAGCCTGGCGGCTGGCGCAGGGCCGTGCCCAGGCGGCCTCGGCCTCCCCCGTACACCCAGGGAAGGAGGGGTTGTGACCTTTGTCACTTGAGGCGACTGGCCCTTCCTCACCGCCCTCTCCCTTGTGGGATAAGCAGCTGGCACACAGAGATTCGGTCAGATGACGGAGGGGGAGAAAGTTAGGGTTTCTGCTCTATTTCAGGGAGTACTTGATATCAACACAAAAAAAAAGCCTCCAGGACTGGGTTTGGATGTCCATAGAGAAGCAGCGAGGCCTATTCAAGCCGTTCCTGCCGGGGCTCCGATCCAAGAGGAAAAAACAAGCCCCTATTCAAGCAGGAACTGGTTCAGCGGCCCCTTTGTTACCGGGCAAAGATGGCCCAGTTCTCGTCTCAGGCTCAGGGCGACCTCGGTGATTCCACCCCCTGGCTCATTGGGCCTCTTGTATGTCGCAGGTAACTCAGAGGTATCTTAGCGTCTGTGTGCTGGTCGTCCCCCCGCCCAGCAGGGAGTGCTGACACAAAACAGACACCGTCAGAGGCTGTAGGTAGGAGCATAAATCAGTATGAGCGTCTACAGAGGGCAATGTAGCAACATCTATACCAAATGATTGATGTATCTGAACTATCTGACCCGGAGATTCCAGTTTTAGCAACTCGTCCCACAGACGGTGCCCCCGGAGCAGGAAGATGGGCAGACAGGGATGTTCCCTACATTCTGTCTCTTGGTAGCAGCAGAGGACACAGGTAGCAGGTGTCCTGCTAAATGGACTACGGCGCCCCCATGCGATGGGACACAGTGTTCCCATTACACTAAGGAACAGATCTAAACACAAGTCTGTGGTGGCCGGACTGCCCTCCCAGATCCGGGTCCTCAGCTTCCCTGAGTCCACATGCTCTGTGGCCTCTCGCACGGACCCCGGGCGTGGCCACGTGATGTGCTCTGATCACAGGACAGTGGCCAGTCTGACGCACACAGCGCGTGGCAAAGGCCTTAGCTGCTTCTGCTTCCCTCTTGCTTCCCTGCGGCCTCCATGAGGACATGCTCGGGCTGGCCTGGGCCTGGCCTGGGCCTGGGAGGCAGGGCGGCCAGGTGAGAAGCCCAGCCCAGGGCAGTGATGACGCTGAGCTGCCCCGCGGCTGCCCAAGGACACAGTGAGCCCTGGCAAGCCCAGGATCATGAAAGCAATAACAGCTGGCTGTTCTAAGGCACTGGGTTTTGGGGTGGTTTGTTATAAGCAGTAGACAACAACCTCAGAGACAGAAACCCCAACTAGAGTGTACAGTAGTAAATCACTATTATGTGTAAAAAAACCAACAGCAAACTTTTGTAAAATGCAGATATACAGCATATCCCTAAAAGGGCCCTGGGGAAGTCCAAAGAGTGGTCATTTCTGTGGAAGGAGGAGTGGGCACGGAGACAGTGCAGGAGGCA